GCAAACATTAAAATGGAATGAAGGCTACGAGAAAATAAGTTACCTTTTAGACCAGCATCTCCCTTCATATCTCTTCTTCATGCTCGCCTATGATTACACTACGAAAAGTGAATAATCTAGCGCTTTGTGTGTCAGATTTAATGCACTGCAATTGAAAAAACATATGTAGACAACCTGTAAATGAAGGCTTGGATATAACATTCGCCGTCACGTCTTAAACGTAACTATTGAAGTGGGCGTAACTTACAATTTTTTCCGTTTCTTGACTTTTAACGTATTACTCTTACAAACGTTGAAAAAAAATTTGAACATTCTATAAGACATACTTTCGAGTTCTTAGCTTGAATAACAAAAATGCAGCAAGAATGTTTCTTGTAACATAAAAGCACTTGGTTAGCACGCTTTCAGATCTCTGAAAACGCCTATAATAAGTCAAGAAGCTACCTACGCCCCTGGCTGAGAAAGCAAAATTAATATTTTAGTACACACAAAAACCAATAGTACAAAAAGACACCGATAACTAAAAAGTCTTACTGAGGAGGTTAAAGCGGGGAGCCTTCTCTACGAGGTATCATGTACAAATATTGATAATTATCAGACTTTTTCCTATTTATTTATTATTTCTGATTACTTACTTTTATTTATCACGATTATTGTGATTATTTGAAGTGTTCTAAGTTTCAAATTTACTGACGGTTTGGTCCTTTCTTTGCACTGTGTCAAGCAATATGCATTTGGGATCAACCGATTGGGCAAACAAAAACAGTTTAGTGTGTTTATAGATATGGAAGCGGTATATAAGTTGAGACAAAAACGTCGCAAAACGTCAAGATTAGCTTTTTCCTTTGTATGCCACTGACCGCGTGTATACTGCGTGTCAGTTATCATATCTCATGTATTTGCGCTACTGTTTCAAAGCCTGCATCAGCTGTGCTAAGATGAGCGGTTTTTGTTGTTTTGTGCACGCATCAATTCAACTTGTGCTGAAATGATATAAAATCATTCAAGACAACTTCACTGAAAGACCTGAAACCTCGAGATTTTGAAGAGAGATGATCTGAAGAAGTCGAGCTCAAAAAAGAACGTTCATTTTTGAAGAGACTTCTTAATTTCTACTGTGTACCATATGCTGTTAGTACCATGGAAACAGTACATGTTATTGTATTCAAGATATGTGTGAATAAATTATTCCGGATGCCAATTTTGAATGAGACATAACTTATTACTTGTTATTTCCACTCTCTTGGACGTCTCAATTGTGAAGGGGACTTATTTAGGGAAGTTTGAAGTTTCGTGCATTACAAAAAACATTGCCTAAATTTTGCAATTTGTTTCACTTTTCTTTTTGAGATTATTTGCTTCCTCTACAGCTTATCGCCTCTAAGTCGGAGTTGGCTTTTACGAAAATAACTTAAATGATCGTGACCGAAGAGCTGTTTATGAAGATTATGAAGAAAATGTCTTCCCTTGTTCTTAGCATTTAAATAACAAGTCAAAGTTTTCTCACCTGCTGTGTTCTGGTATTCATGATCGACAGTAGAATTTAATAATATGGCTGAGTTTTGCTCTATTTTTTTTCCTTCTTTGTTTTTTGGAAACCATGCAAATCAACTTATATATATTTAATTATATCGACCACACTGATTTCATGATCAATTATGGACGAAGACAAACGTTCGAGCATTTTGAAAAACTTCGCAATTTGATTCAACTCCATTTCTTCTCTCTTTAAGTTAACGACAGGGTGAGAGTGTTTCATTCTGGATAGCACATTTCAATAGCTCCGCAGGAAACAATGGCTTTCTCGCAAGTGTGTTGCGTTTTCACCAAACATCTGCGTAGTGGAGCTCCATAAGAAAGAGGAACCTGTTTATTGATTAAAAAAACCTTTATTGCATCTTTTGAGCTACGCTGTTTAAAAGTAAAGAAGGTTACATTCTGGCACATTGTAGGTGTATCATTATTTAAATTTGATTCATCCTTCACAAGGGCTTTGTGGTTTGATGTTTACTTAGAAACCAAACAAACTTTGACGTAGGGGGTCCATTTGATTTCTTTAACATTCTCGATAATTTAAAGATTTATATGGAGGTGGCAACGGTGATCTGACATCTGTATCTGACTGAAGAAAAAAGAGTACAAGAATACAGTCATCATGCATCGAAAACAATCCCTCTTGATTGCGGAAGCTCTTGGTAAGTTCATGAAAGGTGTCACAGATTGCCCTATTCGCGCGATCTGAAAAAACACAGATTAAAAAAATAACGGTCGCGCTAAATGAATCGTATCCTTCGTAATCGTCGAAAGAGAAAGACAGCGAAGTTAGGGTGCCGCAGGTAGTTGTTTCATATTTGTATCGATTTCAGTGGATAGTCAGCTAAGCTGCAGTTTCCTGTAAATATTCGCTGACACAACTGCGCGAAAACTGTCGAGATCACCCAATAACCCAGACTGTCTCAATCAACTCTAGACCTGTCTCGATTCACCCTATTCGCAACACATAAACCAATAAGAAAGCTTTTTATTCAATTTTGCTTTTGTACAAGATGAAGACTAAAAGCTGACTGTAATCTGATTTTGTATAATCCTAAGCGTTTCTCAAAGTATCCGTTTTTTAATCCTTATGAATGGAGGTTTCGACTTGTTATGTCCTTTTCAGTTGCCATGGAGTCCATAACATTGGACTGACATAAACAAATTGACTCTGGTCGAAAAGGTGAACAATAAATCTCAAGTAAATTTGTTAAGAATCTTACGGCCGCGATGGAAAGATAACATAACAATATCTTGGTCACTTTTTTTCTTTCTTTGTCTAAAAGTTTAGCAAGCATCGGAGCCAGCTGTAATACATATTGAACTGCTTTTACAGCAAAAGTAAATGGAAAACCTTTTTGCCTTTCAAACTTCTTTTTTTTTTTTATCTTACCTGTAAATATATCCAAGAGGACAACTGAACGATATTCTTACTAAAAAAAAATGCAAACATCGTTCGCTAACCATCTTTGCTGGTCTTTTAACCAAGAGTAAAAAACGCGTATGAGATATTGGTAGCTGTTGTAGTTGTTGAGTATCCATGTGAGGTTCCAATTGACGAAGGAGACTCAGATTTTTCTTGCCTCAACTTTGTGTAAGCAAATATCGGTCATGTCTCTTTATTTGACTTTGTTGCAAAAATTGTGAAAAGCAGACAGAAAAAGTAAATATCGTGCCGTTCGGCAGTTCCGATAAATATTGTTGTAAATGTCGCTACCGTTCTGTCCTGTTGCAGTTCTGGCGTTCTTCCTTGGAGAAGGAGCATGTGACTCAAGTAAGTTATGTGTGCAAATCAATTCCAATAGTCTAGCTAATTGATTGAGACTCTATGAAGTAACTAGATGAAGAAACTTTACGTTAAGGAGGTTCCAGTTATGTTAGGTTTACTTCTTACATGCTCACGCACTTTTCACCCATAAAGTATACATCACAAATACATAAGTTCACGAGAGCAAACTCATACAATAATCTCCTTACACCATGTGATCATCTCGTCAAGATTCTGCGATTGTTTCGTTTTTAGAGAGTCTTAAGAGAAATTTAACACCAGCAAGCCTTCCAGTTCAAGGGTTGTTCAAAGGTTTTTTTCCTTTTTACTATGTGTAAAGACAATTTCTTTCCTGAACGAGTGAAGTTGAAACCTGCAGGAGTAAATAAATGAAGAACACGCAAAACTTAGTAAGCAACATCGGTGGGAATAATTTGCTCTTTCCACATTTTTCGTTTATGACAGTTTGTCCCAATGGTATAACAAACATCAAAGCATCCAGTGGTAGGCTCAAATATCCCACGTCAGGTAATTATGGCGCGAATGAGATCAAGTGTTGGAAAATTGAAGTCCCCGACACATATGGAGACATCAGATTTCAATATTACAGGTCAGTGTAATTGCTGCGTTGCTATAGAGATGCATGCGCTCTAACTGATCGCGGATTACGTCATGTCTTGCTATAATCACCTTCCTCAAGGTGATTGTAGCAGGAGCGCTAAATTTCAAAATGGCCACCGCGCGTTTTGTCAATGTCGTAAACGTAACTTGTCTAGGATTATTAAACAATATTCATTTCGCTATCCGCGAATAGTCGCTAATCAGTTGACGGTCGAGACACCGCCAAAAATTTCCAAAACAAATCGCCGAAAGATTCTGGAAAGTGCTCAGCGTTTCTTTCATCAAATACTGTAAGATACAGTTTTGTAGCTTCGGACGTCTTGAGGGTTAGATTATCGAGGCAAGAAGAAGAAATGTGCATTTTTGGACTAAAAGCAAATTTGGCGAACGAACTTTGGAACTCTTCACGTGGTGCATACACCCAATATATTTTATTTGTTTCAGTGTATTTCACCCACAACTGACCAGCAACAATGCCTTTTCCATTAGCACCTTTTCCCCAAAGAGTAACGAACGCTTCTCGGTGAATTTATTGATTTGTTCATGCTTCATCTGTTAAAATTTTCACTTTGGCAGCATGAATCCACTCTGCACTAAACAACCCAAACACAACCCCAAATCCCGCGGTTTTCTCCGACTTTTGGAAAAAAACTTTCAAAATTCTCTAGCGTATTTACTGCCATTAGCATTTACTTTTTTTCGGCAGCTATGACATAGAAACATGCAAGTATTGTGAATTTAGTGAATTTAGTGAATCAGTGAATTTATTGATTTATTCATGCTTCATCTGTTAACGTTTTCACTTTAGCAGCATGACTCCACTCTGCACTAAATAACCCAAACACAACCCCAAATCCCGCGGTTTGGTCCGACTATCAAAATTCTCCAGCGTATTGACTGTCATTAGTATTTACAGTTGGTAAACAACACAGGCTTCTATTTGTTCCATAATTGTTCTCGATTCGGTCCCTTCCTCGTCATTCGCGGAACTGTAGGACTCATATGAGGTTCTGTGTATCTATCGCTGGATGGGAAGGGGAAGCGAATTTTAACTGTTTGTGTTTCTTTTTTTCGGTAGCTATGACATAGAAGTATGCGAGGATTGTGAATGCGACAGTCTTAAAATAAGTAACACCTACGATGATTTAGACCAGCCACTTGTTAGAACCGAAAGACCCGATTGTGGACGATACAGTTACAACTATTTGTACGAGTATCTCTTTTTCGTCGGTTGGAGCGAAACGATTTTTAAAAAAGTTCCAGGATCGATTGCCTACATTCGTTTCGTGTCGGATGATACTGAAAATTACAAAGGATTCAATCTCACCTTTATGGCTGGCTCAAGCCCAGGTAAGGGGTAAATGAACCAACCAATAAAAGAGACCTTGTTTGATGATGAACGTAGCAACTTATTATGTCATAGGATGCAAATATAATTATTGCTGGTATTTCATTATACGTTTTAGTCCTTTGTTCCCTTTCCTTATCTTATTTGTTTTAAGTCGCGACAAAACCGCCTTACTAACTATGTTATTCGGAAACAAGACTGTCTCTTTATACCGAGGTTCGATTTCAGATATATGAGACAATAACTCGCAATTCGAGGCTCATCTCTAAGGACTCTTGTTATCTACCACGACAAATTGGCAGTGGTGTCCAACTTTAATAATTATAAAGAAGTGCGTAAATGCTTGAGAATGTTTCAGATATAATGTTCAACTGTATAGCGTTAATTATTCTAAAATTAATCATCATAATAAATTTGATGCTTTACGGTACCTTCAGTTTTAATATAAACAATTCTTATTTATCTTAGTTTTACTTAATAGACACACGAACCCACAAGAAAGTGGCTTTCAGCTTTTTGTTTCGTATTTAAGGTTCTATCTATCTATCTATCTACCTACCTGTCTATCTAATTATTACTAAACAAGACCAAAACAAAAGCAAGGAAAAATGAAAGTAAACGTGCTGAAAAGGCAATGGAAAAAGTACTTTTTAGGCAGTAAAAAGAAAGCTTTATTTACTTTTCAGAGGGTCTCTCAAACTATCTCAAAGTATCCGAAGACGAAACTATTGCATTTGGCACGCCAAAGGCTGGGGCCCAGAATTACCCATCAAATTACACAGAGCAGTGGTTCTTAATTGTTCCTGAGGGAAGGCAAGTCCAGATAGACCTCGACACGTTTGATCTGGAGGATAGTAAAGACTGCAGAAATGATTACATTGAGTTCCGTGAAGCATATGTTACGGCTGAAGATCCCAGAACCATCGCTGGTCAGTACGGTCCAATACTGTCCAAACGAATGTGTGGAAAAACCAAGCCAAGTTCAATACGGAGTAAAGGAAGCATTGTCTGGGTTCAGTTCAAAAGTGACAGCAACTCTTTCACGGTTTACAAGGGATTCAAAGCTTCATTTAAAGCAGGTTTGTATTAAATCACCGCTGGTTTTTATCATTATCATTTTTATGTTACATGATATTTAGGGGAAACCAGCCTTGGTAATAAATAAAGTAAACTGGACTTCGTTTTTGTTATTTTTTTAAAAAAGCTGTTACCTATTTTCTTAGTCTTCCTCTCTACTATGTAAGTCTGACAGTCCAAGACGAGACTTCCCCTTTCTTTCCAGATAATACGCTGGCTCCTTACCCTCCCCTGAAAGCTGTAAAACGTAATTGGCGCGGAATACGAGGCTTTAGGCTTATAGCCGTCATCCGAAAGCCACAGGAGGCTAATCGTTCGCAGATGTCATGTTTAAGATGGCACATTTTACTACGTTATTTTAAAGTAAGGCCTCACTCGTTGAGCAAGTTGCCATCAAACTGATGAAAATGTCTTTAGCTATGAATATTACTTAAAACAAATAAGATAAGGAAAGGGAACAAAGGACTAAAATGTATAATGAAATACCACCAATAATTATATTTGCATCTTATGACGTTATAAGTTGCTACGTTCATCATCAAACAAGGTCTCTTTAATTCGCACGAACCTTGTAGGAGTAGTAACCATAAAGTGTCATATGATGCAATGACGCAGCGTGCGTAAGAATGCAGTTTCAAAATGGTTGATATCTTTAAATTTTTCTTCCAGTGCTTGTTCACTTTCAGACAAAATATTGTACCAAAATGTGGTAAAGCACCCGTCGTTATTATTCGCCAGGGGAGGGGAGGAAGGGGGTCGGAGAATTTTGGTTGTGTCACGATAACATTTTCCTAATGACCCCATGAGGCTCTGTAATATTCTAATTGTCCCACCGCCCCACCCCCATTGGCAGTTCGTTGGCAGTCAACTTTCTATAGGCCCCCCCTAAAACTCTGTCGGCGATGACTGATCCTTCCTGCCTTCCCCTTGAAAACCATGTGATCCCCTTCAAAATTCTCGCCCCCCACCCTTTCCTCGGGTGATAATAATGAATGGCCCTTGACAACAATAAAATAACACTCAAGCTGCAGCAAAGTGTATACATAAATGATAAATATCTTGTTTTGACACCTATCGTTTTGATTTTTTTATTTTGTAGGACAAGGAAGATTGTCTGTCAGCAACCCGTCGACGCTTCTTTTCGCCTCAGTTCTGATGATAGTTGCGTCAAAGAACAACTTGTTCTAATCCCATCAAGTGTGTTTGAGTTTGATCCAACTCTTTTGTGTTGAGTCGTTTTCATTATATGCTTTTAGTTTGAATACCTTGCACCATATAGGCGTAACTCTTGAATAATACCAAAAAACTTTCAAAAGCAAAGTAAGGACACAAAAGAACATCGTCTTTTAAGTTTATAAAATCTGTAAGCAGCTGCTACGTTTATACAAGTAGACAAAAGTACCTAAACGAACGACAAGTCAGTGTATGGCAGTTAGGTTACTCTTTTTTTTTGGGACGTCATTAAGAGGAAAAGCTGAGTATACCACACATAGCGCGGAAAGCTCCAATAATCTGTCACTTCTTTTTATTCTCATAAAACCTACAGTTATCTTCTAATCAACCACTTTTCCATCAATTACTTCTACATTTACAACGTCTACCACTGTTGACTAGAGCCAAAAGGTTGCGTGCGCATTAGACAAACTAGTAAATATATGTTTTTACTACTAACGTGTTTTATCTCGTATATTGTTGACTTTCAACTAAGATACCCCCGTCACGTACTGGTTTTAAAATAACAAATGTAAGCAGACCTGTTTGACTTACCCAAAAAGGAAGCCAAATTTTATAATGTAAAAATGGGCACAGCAGAAATTGAAACTCCATGAAAAAAGCTAAATTTTTGGAAGTTGATTGTGATAAAATCCCTGTTCCGTTTGCTGTATTGTAGGGATACTGAGTAGTGCAAAATCTCCACTTGGTGATGATAATCGCGCGAGTCGTACAAATAAATTGCTACTGTGGCGACTGGGTTTTACATGTGGTACTATCGGCGACAAGTTGCGATTTCTGCTCTCAGATTAAAAGTCAGTGTTAAAGAGCGTTCAATCGAGGTTTTCTTCTTTTTTTTTGGTTGTTTTTACTAAGAATGCGCGGAAATCTGCTGATATATCGAAAAATATCCATTTCTCGTCTTCTTTGGGGCGACCGATGGAAACTTCATGGAGAAATACAGCGTCACGCCATCGTGACAAGGTACATGTGAATGACAAATGACAGGTGTGAGGATAGTTTCGTGTAGATCAGCCGACTTCAACGTGTTTCAAATGACATACAAGTATAACAGTATATCTTCAGAGGACTTCAGATCGCTTCAAAATCCCATGAAAGAAGGTGCAGCACTCGGAATCTGGATGACATGCACACGATTTGAGGTATATGTTTGTAGTTACGTCGGTTGTCCTCCATGAAGGCTGATCAATTTTTTTAAAAGATGACAACCAGAGGCGAGATTTCTCTTCGGGATATTGCTCATAAGATAACATTCTTTCAAAGCCTTGCATGTTTCATTTTTCTGAAACATTTGTTGTTGAGAACATTAGATGTAAACATCGCCAAATTATGCAATGTCTGGCGGGTTGTTTCAGATCCAGAATCGGTGTACTTTTGGAGAAATTCAGATAAACGTTTTCCCTGTTTTACCCGACAAAAAAATGAACAAAACTGTACCGAGATAAATAATCTATTGGTGTGTTCACATTCACTCCCAGGGAAAATTGAATAAATCATTGTGAAGACGAATGATGTTAATAAGTTCACTCTTTTTTTGCGACGTTTTTGTATGAAAATGAGGCCCCAGGCCTCGAACAAGCAGTCGTTGTTACCATGGCAACAACAGTGCTGCGACCTTTAAAAAGGGCAATTTTGTGCATCCCCCCTGAGTGCCTAAATGCATGCAAAATTTGAAGGGGGGTTGAAAATTTCCTTTTCCAAGATGTTTGATTCTTATAGAGACTTGCTCTTAAGTACTAGCTATGCTCATTAATAATGCGCAGGTATTTTCTCTGGTGTTCAAGCACTTACATTTTGTGTACTGACCAAAAAGGTGAATGACACAAGTTTTTTTGAGGATTAAATCTTGAAAAACCTCTAACTTGAGCAATCATCGCGAAATAATAAGTAACTTAATCTCGTTGAATCAGAATGATATGATCAAAAACTTTATAACATTTTTCTCTCATTTGCTCCCATGACTTTTAACAGAAGTACATGTCAGCGGCTAAGGTACGATGTTATCGAGAAATAGACATAAAACAATGAAGAGATTATTCCAGCAGACAAGTCATTACTTACCCACTCTAGATCTCCTTCTACAGTCGCAAATCTAATCTTTAGGACCATTAGAAAAAAAAGTTTGGAAACATCCATTCTCTTCAAACTTATTACGTGAGTTCTAAAATAGTATTTGACAACTATACAGCACACTTATAAAAGCAGTAATTAAATTACATCACGCTCCAAGATGATGCCAAACTCTCTTAAAGATAGCACTGGGAAACGAGAAAAATTGCTTTCAATTTACGCTTTTAGGTTGAATGTTATGCCTTGACAGTGACCAACTCGAAAGCGCATTGGCTACTTTGGTCACTGTACACGATTAAATATTCTTTCTTCTAGTTAATTTCTGTTTGTATTTTTTCTATATCATCGTAAATTATGTTATATTAAGTTATTTTTTCTGTAAACAGTTTGAAATGATAAAGTGAGTGTGTAAAGTGTGCCTGTGGTAGGTGGAGGAGAAAGATGTGAGCGAGATCGATTATTACACATACTGTTTCACAAGAGGTATTTGCAAGTGTAAAACTAGATTGTGTGAATAGGTCTCAATTTATACATTTCCCCAAGAGGTTTTTGTAGGATGAGGAAGCCCTCAACTTTATTAAACACGAATAAGAGGGTTTAATGAAATTCTGACCTCTGTGATTCATTTGCTAGATTAAGGAGTTAAAAAAGTATAAAATGAACACTCGGAGCGTTTCTAGATACATAAAGAGAATGCACTTTTAATGGTGTTCATGGTCCTTTATTTTAATGGTTTAACAAGTCATTTACCACATCTCTAAAATCTTTGCCCATCACCGTAGCTACCCAGCCATCTCTGCAGGCATTGCTGTCAGTTTACATCCCCATTCCTCCAGATCCAACCTCCTCTGTCGGCGGAGGGGTCCTTGGACGTGTGCATTTGCGAAAGCCAAAAGGTGGTTTCTTTGCACACACTAATCCCTCTTGGCATTTCCAAAAGCAAGTCTGTTCGAATGCAAAACACAAATGAGTGAAACAGGAATATCGAGAACAACAATCTTTACTGATGTCTCCACTGAGTTACATGAAACATAAACTTCCGCCGCCGTGCTCAGATGAGTCTACAAAAGGTAGAAATCATCTTCAATAAAAAGTGGAAAAGATAAAGATAGTGGACTTGGTTATTGCATGGACATTATCAAGGGAGCTAAAATATTGCTACAGCGCTAACGAGTTAACGCTTGGGATATTGGTAAATAGCAATTTTGAAGACTAAAGACTAAATCTGCACCAAACCACCAAATCAAGATTTCAGAAACTGCCGAGTAGCAGGGGTCTCGTTCTACTTACGGAGGATAGACGGCAGGGTTTGCCCTCTGCTAAATACGCTCTGCACATGGAGAAACCATATTTTAAACAGCACTTGCCAGGGGAACAATCTGCGTCACTGGAACACTGGAAATGAAACAGAAGACAATGAGTTTATCCAAGAAATCCTAGATAATAGAAGAAATTAGAGAGAACTCTTGAAAAATTTAAAACAAGCGGAACTAGGAGCAAGAATCAAAGCAATTAACAAGAACGTTTGCATAAGGAAGACATTATTTTTTGATGAAGGAAAAGTATGTTCTTGAATCTATGATATTTTTATGTCCGCTATTACAAAATGGAAAATCATCATTGAAAAGGTTCTGAGATTCCTAACTATCATTGCGGCAAGATCATTGTCTACAAAACTGCTAAAAATTTCGTCTTTTAATGCCACTATTTGAAGAAATAATCCAACACTTCACACAAATATCTCAATATTCGTATTATTCAGATGTCCCAGAATTCGTCCACACAAATGTCTTAGAGTTCGTTCATAACAGCTGCTTTTCGCTTTTTGCAAAAAGACCATTTCTAGAGGTAAGAATTCCTTTCCATATGCCTCCTTATTGCTGCCAACAGATAGCTGAGAGTTCAAGGGGAGGTGAGTGAAACTGTTACGTCATAGGTAAGCGGCCAGGCTGCTATGCTAGATTCAAAATGACCGCTCCCGGTCGAGATAATCTGAGAGGGATTTAGTCTCCTTATTTTCTCCTTTCACATTCCGGCTAAACAGATTTAATTTCCCAAAGGCAACTCGAGTTCGCAACCTTAAGAATTTTGAAAGCGTTCTTTGCAGTGAGTTTATCTGGGCCTGTTTCAAGAGGGTGAACTGGTGACACGCATTTTGGTTCTTGCCATTGGACTTCTTGAAACTTTGTGAATTGAAACTGTTTCCTCTTTCTTACGATCAATTAACAAATCTTCCGGTTTTCTTGGCATTAATTTTTTGCCAATATTTTATCCATAAAAGTAGTGGATCGTTCAGGCGAAAATAAAATATACTTCTTTGCCATTGTTTACTAAACCAGCCAATAAACTCGATCTAGAATATCTCTGTACAAAAAATAGGGTATGAGTCATTACTGAGGTCGCTTTCACTCCAAAACTGGAGATTTTAATTTGAGAGAGGAATAGGTTGAACTTTGATTAATTGAACTTCAAATGGCCCGAGTTTACTAGCAGTGTATCTTGAGACCTTTAGGAAATGTCGCTGCTCCATAAATGTTTCCATCTTTCGTTCGATCATTGGTATGGGTTAAAAAAATAATTATGTTAGTTAGAACAAGCTAGCTAAGTGTTCGTTAAATGCTTACGATTATGATTGAGTAAAATTGATTTCAAAAGGTGGACTGTCTTTCTTATGATGTACAACTATGAAATTAAGACTTTTTCGATTTGAAATCAAATCTTTTCTTTTCTCTGCAAGAAACGGATCAAATATTTCAAATGCCTTACTCTGGTGAAGGTCGTCAACAGAAAGCACTTACCGATCGCCAAAATCGTTTGTCATTTTGAACTTCTTCTTTCAAAAAGTCTCCTTCTTCAAAGGAACTTCCCACGCAGACGAATGTCAGGCAAAGTGCCAAAGACAAGGCGAAGTTCATGTCGCTCTTGCTGTTGTTGCAATTCAATGAAAGTAAAGAGATTGTGCACCTGAGACTTGTTTTACATGCAGCTGAATGTTTTTACAGC